TGTATGACCGGGTTTTTCGCAGGCCAGTTGAAGTTCAGAAGTCGCACGCGTTTCTTTTGGACGCAGAGTTGTGGATCCAGCGGTTGGATTCCAATCGCCTCTGAGGTCGATAGTAGTCTGGATCGTACAAGTCGTGATCGGTTCAGAAGTACCCGGTATACGATGGGTTCGCTCTTTGCCGATGACATGAGCGGTGAAAACGACCGTCTCAATCATCTGAGGGTAAATCGATATTGCCGCCCATTCCCAAAGAAGGTGCTTGCGATGAGTTTACCAATCACAGAAGAAGTAACTTCAAACCATTCGCAAACAAACTATGTATCGCTCATTCTATGTTGTCTTACGAAGGCGCGTACAGACGTGAACCGAGTACTGCAAGCAGGACTCCCGACGGGAAGGGTTGTGTAGATCACATCTTCACACTCCGTCTGGTGTTAAAAGACGACATGCATACAGATGCCATGTAATCTTGGTGTTCTTCGCATTTAAGAGTGCGTTCGATACTGTCGACCAGTTAGTTCATTTCAACACGCTTGCATACCGCCCCAGACGTTTGTGAGTATCAGGCGCTGTTTGTATTCACATAACTGCGGGCGAGTGGGACTGTACTGGAAGTTTTCCAAAACGTTCCTAGAAGCACTGGTGTGCTATAATAATGGTCACTTTCCATTTTTTTTAATTTTGCCACTGGCGAGATAATGGGGTGAACGTGGAATATTCTCTGTATTCAGATCTAGCCGAGAAAGAACACTGTTGACCTAGACTTCGCAGGCGGCATTGTTAACAATTTCGGAAAAGTGGAAGGAGCACAAGTGTTATTGAAATCTGATATTTGACTCAAACCGACAAGACGTAAATTCACACTGTGGGACGTACAGTCATTAAACGTGTCTTTGAGGATTCAAAGAATGACTTTAGAGTTTGTGGAACTCTATACGTATCTTGGAAGTTGTATTATCTTTAAATTTCACAACCTATGTAATCAAAAAGCGTATCGCCGGGCTACAAAGAATGGATGAATCAGAGAGAAATGGGATTTTACTGTAGTAAGGTTGAGAGACTTGGCCAATACAGGCGGGTACTTTGCCATTTCTTCATATCTTTGACCACTGATCCCTCAGAACCATAACTAGCGTGAGTTGTAATCAAACAGCTCATAATGATGCGACAAGAACAAAAGGGAAAAACTTGACTTAAAAAATGCGTCCAACACAGCGAGCTATGCGGTTGGGCCGTGTTACACATGTCGAGTTACTACCTACTGTGGCGAGTGCTGTTTTCCGTGCCTAACTTGATGTGGTGGAAGCCTGGAGGCAGAAAGGAACGAAGGGTGGTACGAAAACTTTGGTTGCTGTCTGCCCTCCAGGATAGGGTTCACATGACCTTTATTGTGGTTGGTCGGAGATATTGAACGATATGGTACTCAAGCAATGTCAGTGGCATTCAAGCTGGAAGTTTCCATCCATCCTGCCTAAGTGAACACTGAAGGCGTGGGCTCCAGTTGTGCTGTAAACTAACCCTATTTCTCACTTCCTGTCCCACTTTATCCTTGTTTTCATTGTTAAACAATGTTCGCGTTGCTGTCAGTGATGACGACAATGAGTTTTTAGAATTGAAATAGTTCGCATACCCGGTTTGCGCAGGCTGCGTACGAAACCGTGTCTGCATCAAGCCTGCGTAAGATTTTCATGTGATGGCGTCGAATTTCAAATGGGAGTTTCCACTCACCACATTTGCCACGGAGTTCAAAAGGTGCTTCCTAAGTGAAAACCCATGGCTTCCTTGTCAAGGATTAATTAATGTGTTTGGGTACCCATTTTAAGCACCAACGGAGGGAATTTTATCTTTCCGTTGAGTTTTTGGTCATGAACCAAAAAATTATCCTCACAGGATTTATACCACGAAATAAAGATAACTCCACTGACAGAGTCACGGCAGAACTCCCGAATGGTGGTACTGAGTGAAGTTCACTCTGATTTTACGCATTCTTCTGGTTGATCCAAATTTGAAGACAAGGGGTCCCAATAACTTGATTTAACTTTGTTGGTGACCCCCAGAGCCTCCTGCTGTTTATGCATGGGCTGAGGTAATTCAGCTCTCCGTTCCTATCATCCGAATGTTAAGACTTCTTTGAATGTGCAACATACCTTTGTGCGAATAGGCCTTCAATTTAGCCAGGAACGACGATTCGTCGACTGGAGTGCCGACGACGAAGGTAAACAAAAGTGATGTGGGACAGGCTATTTCAGTTTGTACGTATGGATTTTGTGTTGACCATAAAAAAGAAGGAATGATCATCTGATGTTAAATGAAGATCTCCAGAATTCTGATGGAGACCCAACATGAAAATCTCCTCAATACTACTACGTACACCAGGGTCACATGGTCATTCGTCAGGAAGATCAGATTCATGTAAACAATCCCAAAATGCCCGAAACTTAGTGAGACCCTCAAACCTCACTAAAATAGTAGTAAAGAAGGCGGCAAGCATCTGGGTCAGAAAAGTCAGCTGCTGACTGGAGGCTTAAGCGGTCAATCAGTTCAGCAACGGCTGAAGATGATGAGTATATACCTAAAGCCGATTGGGCAGCCTGGATTCAAGGTCAAAAGTGCTCTCTGGATACCGCGATGCTCCTGTCATTTTTGCACTCGCTCGTTCACAAAGACGCTTTTGTGCTCTTTTTAGTAAGCCTTTTTCTGACATTAAGGCACTGGAGCGGGGCCAGATGTAGTTACAACGGTACTAATAAGATGCAGTCTTTTACGCGTCAGATACGCTGCTGGCAATACGAAATTCTGCATTAAATGTGTGCATAAAGTCCCTATCACCCCATAGCCGGAATATGCACAGCCATGGTTACCTACAGTTGTTGAACATTGTGGATTACTGATAAAAGGCTTCTATGCATTAATCCTAGTCGATTCATAACATAAGCAAACCGGAGTTTCCATCACTAAGTCGATATCGAACGGGCTTATAATGAATGTAATGAAGTAAGTTTCAGCCGCGTAGGGTTTCCGCAGGTCCTGTCACCAGACAGCGCTATTTCATTTCATTCCAGCAAAACGAAACTGTGGTTGTATGCAGTGGAATTTTAACCGTCTGGTAACATCACCTGGCTGAAGCCCCTCCAGTGAAGCTACCAAAATCTGGTAGGAGAGTTAAAATGTGCCATGAAATTTACCAGTTAACAGACAAATTTGTGGATAATTTCCCGCTTCAATACAGTAACACTGCACAGGCGCAACTAAACAAATATCTTCATCATTAAACCTCAAACACTTTGCGCTTCATTGCAGTGTTTGTTTGTCTACTTGTTTGTCTGTTTGTTTGTCTCCTGGGGTCAGCCTTCAGATCAGCCAGCACTGCAATTAAAAGTCCTTATTTATCTCGCCATATGGTTGATTCAGCGGGCAAGCACTTGAATTGATTTTCTCTCACAGGACAAAGTTTATAAAGCTCACGCTCAGGATTCACCCCACCGGCGTATTTAATCAAATTGTTTTCTTCTTACTTTAGCTAAAGTGAATTATTGGTATCACCCAATGAACAAATATTTCGAACCTCGAGTTCGTCCTGTTATGGGGTCGGGGCAAACTACGCTGAAAGCCACGAAGCAATGTACAGTTGTTTCATTCTTACTGAAGAACTCGGAGTTTCACGAATTATGCATTGCCGATGATTCCCAATAAGGACGAAGCAACTGTACAGTGCTCCCCTGATTTTCAGCATAGATTGGTTTGATTGACAGGACGAAATCTTAATCGAGGATGAATGTTGATCATCGCTCGTTCCCTAATGAACACAGCTTGCGGACGAAAGGTCGAATATTTCATCTTCCACACTGAAATACAACTTCAATGGCGAATGAATCCTCAGTTGGATGAAACCTAGAACAGAGTTTTGAAAAATAGCTTAACGACGCTGCTGTATGTGGCAATAACTGAAGATTTATTCACAACATTATGAGCCTGTTATCGTCATGAAGAGACGATCGGTCAAACACTCATGAGATTTGGTTGCTGTTCAAGGATTGGATTCAGCTGTTCCATCGACAGCATTATGATGGTATATGACCCTCGTTGCCACCAGCAGATGCATTGGGTTGCTTCGTATCTGTTTTGGTCACTGACCAGGACGGAGAGAATGCAGACAGTTACGTGCACTGGATATGCATTGAACTGGGTTATGAACCGAAGCAAAAGACCATGACAAAGAGGTCAGTGGGAGCAGGTGATAACGTAGAGAACAGACACTGCCAACTGAGTGTCGCGTGCAACGCGTGATGTAGTCAACAGGATTCGCTGATCCGTGTTTTTACAGATGCATGTTCACACGCGTCTTTCTTTTCAAAATACAGAGCCGTCGGAAAAAAATCACTAAAAGCAGATAAAGTCTACTGCTTAAGGAGGTGGGCTAAGAGTATATCGCTTAGTCACTTGCAGAATAAAGCGTGAGACTCCGTTCTGATAAGAATTTATAAGCGTAGCGTCCAATTATGTCTACCACAACAGAACTTGGCTGGTAAATTTGAGACATGAATCCCAGGTCGGCAAGTGTGCATTAAAAGATTAAACTGAATTGTCCAGTATAAATACAAAAAGGTAGATCGAAGATTCGTTATGAAGTCAAACTATTTTTTATCACAGATCCCTAGAAGGGCCTGATGAAATTCGTGTAATTTATTGGGAATTCAATATTTTTTGTAGTCAACTGCAAATAGGCGTGACTAGGATCATTTATAATCCGAATGTAATGGAATTTTCAAATGGTTACGGTATGTGACCTCTTGGAAGAATAGCGAGCACGAGTATCTCTTACTCTGTTGGTTCCATCTGAGACCCCATTCCCCTCAATCATATTCAAAGGTTCACAGCTACTTACCTCAACAGAGGTATCATCGATGTATAACTTGTTGATATTTTCACAAATCTTATTCTGATTACAGTATTCATGCTCTACCACCGATAAATATATGTCGTGGGAAGAGAATGCACACGGAAGAGACAAAGTTTCGTGAAGTACGCAAGAGACTGGTTGGAATAAATAGCAGTGTTTTCAGATTAGGAACGAAAACCGAAAATTCGCCACCGCAAGACCACAAGAACAACACCAAAAGAGTTATTTGTGGATTGTCTATGAGTCACGGCTTTGACTTTGAAGATGACATTCGTTGGGGCGAACCTGGCTGTGCTATTCAAAATTTTGAAAATTTGCAAGGTTGGGATATGCCAATCCATTCAGGTTATCCAGGATGAAATCGGATTGATATGAATCTCTCCAAATGTGTCCTGAAAGTGAGAAAAAAGGCACCATGCAGGTGACAACGCTTTTTACTTACCTAGGACGCCCTAAAAAGGAGCTCGATTAGAAATATCTGGTGGCAAAAACAGAGCAAAAGAACGCTTGCACTGTGCTCAAGTGCTTTTAATATTCCGCACATGTGGCTCTCAGTGGTTGCAAACACACCAGGACCGAATTAGAGGCAACTTTGCACCTCGCTGTTCGTGGTAAAACTAACAAAAATATTGCAGTCAAGTTTCAGCTAGTGAACAGCATTGCACCGATTCCCAGAAAACACTGTGGTCACACACAGAGATCCCATCAGTGGACAAGCCGCGTGTGGGGGAAAATACTTCTTTAGATGAGCAAGTGACACCCCACATGCTTGAGTCTTTCAAATTTTGTGTCCGAGCTACTAGAACATTGAAGAAATATCCAATCTCAGGGGCGCAACATTAAAAAGAATTGGCCACCACTTGGAGAGGCAGCCTTTGTGCAGCACACTGAGTTGAAGAGTATCATAAACAAGAGGTCCTCTTGAGTCTCCCGTGAAAACCAAATTGATTTGCAAATGAGTGTGTTTGTAGAAAACAATGAATTGTTTTTGGGTAAACTCAAGCATGTTGTGTGTAATGAGACTCACGGTCACATTCTGTTACTAAACTTGGCCTTCCCACACTCACTCATTAATGCCTTTAGTTTTGTTAATGATACCTAGGAAGAGTTAATAGAACGCGTACACTTTGATGCAGAGCCTCATAGCTTGACTCAAGGATCCATACTGTATGCCTTCACCGGTAAAATCCTAGATGGAAAGTCTCTGTGGATGACTTATTACGGGGAACTACTGAGATCACTGCGGATTTGCTTAATATAAGGTCCTAGATGACAGATTCAATCAGATTACCTGCTATCCATCAAGTCGCCCCCAGCTTAAAAACTGGTAAAGGATTCTGTCAGCACTCACCTAGTGTCGTCGATCAAATAGTCAGTGCAAGTGGATACATTTTTCCGGATGTTGTGATACAAAAAGTGGTACTGAATGAAGGGTATTAGCAGCCCTGGTGGGAGTAATCGAATGTGAGGAACGTTGGACATAGTTTCATATGCTATTCGATGCTGGTATCAAAATACTGCCTGAAATCTAGGGAGCATAGCTTGCTCACTTATCTGCCCATACAACAATCAGATGAGTCGCATAAACCTCCCTCTAATCATGACAGCAAGACAGGGCATATGGTTGATATGATGGGCGCTGTTTTTTTGCTAACGGTGGAATTGCTCACCTGACTCATTTCTTGTCTGCTGCAACCAACGCATCCGGTCACAAGCATCTTGAAGTCTCGCTTGTGGGGCATTCAGTTCATTCAAAAAAACCATTGACAAAATCTCAAGAAAACTAAAACGTGTTAGCTTAGGACAGATTTCGTGGTAGTTAGGAGATTTAAGAGCTGGACGGTGGCTCACCAGTTGCGAAACACTGAATACTTGTGAACGTACTTACGCTTTTAAGGGTATTCGACAGGCGATTTGTCAGTCGGACTTCTTTGGTCGCTTGTTCCGCCCAATACGAGATCTGAAAACAACATACAACAATTTTGAATCGAAGGAGTTGCGGCAGCCGGAGGAAGCCAAACCGTATTTTGTAAGTTAATCCATTGTCAAAGCAGCTTCGTGAAGTTTTCCAAGTAAATTTGAATTTATTTATTGTGATTCCGAAGAGCTTGCTCGGGATTATGAACCCAAACATTCAGTCACGCCTATAGTGAACAGGTGAAAAACGCTCTGAAGTGCGTTCAATAAAACGCACTTTATGCAAACTGCACTGTTGTGTATTCGTAATGCACTACTCATAAGGTTGCTGGAAATTCTTCGACAGCCCAATACCGATTTCGCCCTTCTTGGGGCTCATCAGGTGGGCGCAGTCCCCGAGTTTCCGTCAACCTCATGTTCTACGGGGATTATCGTATATTGCTTTTCCAGAAGTATAACGCACCCACCGGAGCTAATTGTTTACCACAAACTGGTGCAGGGTTCACAAAGTTATATTTGTGGAATGGGAGCTGGAAACATAATTCGAAAACGTTGTACAGCTGCGTACTCATCGTAGAGAAGGATTTAAATCAAACTGATTGTTTGACTGGTGCTTTGTTGGACACAGATTAAAACTATTTGGAATTTGTATTCATGTGAATCTCGTTTAAACGTTCCACTCCTGTCCTGGTGCAGTTGTTTTGGTTGTAAGCGATTGCAGGATTTGTGGAATAAACAACCACATCATTATCGGTTTTTATTATGTTATTTTTATTTTTTATTATGTTGTATTTATTTTTTTATTATTTTATATTTATATATAATGTATATCGTATTAATACTGTTTTAACTAGTCCACACCGAAGATTGGAAGCAACAGACCTCAATTTTCTCCCGCTATAGCTCATGAGCAATACACATCCTTAGCCCCATCGGACACTCAAGCCCTTATAAATGGTATGCGAGTCACCAATTTCGTAGTGAACGGTGAACATGCGTGACTCGAAGCGCCTGAATAAGCGAACCCACTTACCCTTGGGCGACTTGCCTGTTTACCCTGTCGGTGGCGGCTCAGTCAGTTCGTTGACCATCCTTTGAAGGCTCCACAGTAAATGGTGCTGTGGCCACGTGAAATCTGCAGGGTGAACCATATGTCGTCGCAAAAAAGTTGCTTGAGAGTGGAGGAGCCGAATTCCCTATTCCGGCGTAGTCGATTACGACTCAACCAACCCAAACTTAGTTATATAAATGAGGGTGGTTTTTGTTTGGTTATATTACACAATTATTATAGCCGGCCTCTGGGTTTATGTTCGTCCACCTTCAAGAGGGTTTTTCTAATAATCACTCGTGTGGATGATGAATGGCGATGACTAATTTTCCTTGCCTGCCGACTTTACTGCAAAATTCCCCCGCAAGAATCAGGGACATACGGAGCTTATTACAAATATGTTCACATTTGGTACATACATAAACCTCGTCAGGAATCTCAGTAACACGGGCTAAAACTACTCACTTGTAGAACTCTAATAAATGTTGCTTTCATTGCTAACCTTAAATATCCTCATGGATAAAGTCCATAATAGGGGTAGGTGAACCGGTTGCACTGGATTCCTAGGTCGTCGTCCATTTTAATGCCCACGAATCAATAACCTTTATCACACTAAAAGCAATCCCATGAAAATATCGCTTGTGCCTCAGGTATTCTGTTGTTGTTGTTGTTGTTGTTGTTGTTGTTGTTGTTGTTGTTGTTGTTTTGCGTCTCATTTACGACGATACCATTCTGAACACTTTGCTGGGGTATCACAATGACTATTGTATTGATCGTCGTTGGGCCACATGTCCAGACAAGCGTGATCAGCTGGGCGACTGAGTGTGAATCTAAAGGCCAGATCAACCAGCGAAGCGAAAATAATCGGTATCTTTTCCGAACAATATCGCTTTTTGCAGCGACATATCAGTACTGATAGTGTAGCCACGATTGGTCCATGAAATGATTGAGGTGGACTGTTGCGACGACCACTGGTCACTCATGAAACATGCGGGCTATGTGGATAATAATATCCGATTCTAGTAAATACATCCACAACTGGTCAGTTATGTCACCACGCTACGTCGGACATGTCTGGTCGCATTCAGGCAACCAAGTTCACCTTAACCGCAGTTGCTTTGTTAAGATGAGAAAAATACTTTATGTTACAGGAAGAATTCATGAGGTTAGAAGCTTAAACGTGGGCGCTTGTCCCGACGATAAAATGTTGCGCTCATGTAGGATGAAGAGCATGACGTAATCCCGTATCTACTCCCAAGGTAACAAATCCTGATGCAGCTTGCCTTATCTGCGTGAAGTACCATGAAAGATGAAGGCGTAAAGGATACCAGCTAAGAAATGATTTTGACAAAATAATTTCCCCTACTCTGGACTAAAATAGCTACCGATTAGGTTATTGTCAACAAAATAGTGACAGTTCAGAAAATACGTAGTAGAAACAACGTAGTAGGATCCTCAGCCGCTGTTCTGGTTATCGATAATTTTAATAGGAAATCTTTCCATTGAGTAACCTCGTTATATTGTTGAACTCGCCTTCAGAAAGTGTCAGCAAAAGCAGAAGTGACTGTATAAAAACTAAACTATAAAGTACACGCTGGTAGTGCAGATACACAGGACGACCTTCTGATATAACCGGGGGAAAGACTATACAGGAAAGCTTTATTCGTGAGTGCGTTGATCTATTTATGACAGTGATCATTTTTTTATAACAAACACATGATTAAAATCCGGAGGGCATATTGGTGTTAACCTTCCCTATGTGGCTACCTCGTCGAAAACTTGATCCAATGCTTCCATATTTTGTAGTTTTTTATGGTTATCAGTTTTGCTTGTCTACGCGCCACCTCTACCCCATCCGCTGTAATTCCACCTCCGGGAATTGCCTGTATGATGCAATTCCCTAAACTTACCGTGTATTTAACCTATGGCTTTTTATTTCAGCCAGTGTTTTTTGCCTAAAAGTGACATTACTCAGACGGGAGCCCTCAGAACAAAGTAAATGTAAATTCGTACTCTACCCGGGAAAAATGCTACATGGAGTATTGATAGTGCTTAAATGGTCCGGGAGATGCTCAACGCTAGGTAGAACAGTCGGAATAAAAACAGGAGAATTTTATGGAGGTAGCTAACGACGCAGTGGTCCCAAAAATGGAATTCAGAGTCATTTATTCCACCAGAATTAGCACAGCAAGATAGCACTGATAATGTCGATGAAGCATTAGGAACGTAGTACTCCTTTAGTCGCATTAGATGAATTTATACCAACAGGCCTTGAAGATAGGTTGTGCTTATCGGTTGTTCATCCTTAATTCGTCAAAAATGTTTAAACCAATAACATGACCTGGTCACATATTTATGCGTGAAATGCACCGGTTCTGAAAGCAAAACTACGAAAGTTTTGTCTGTAAAAGCTTAGTCGTATAATTATACTCTGGCTGTCATACTTATTGAGGGAAGCCCCGCAAGACACGAAAATCTTTCCGAAAAGCTTGCCTTAGTGGATGGCATCCATAATTGGGAACTTGCGCATGGTAACAAACAGGCAGTTATATTTCAATGGCTCCGGTTGAGGTTTAAAGGTACTGTGATCCCTTTTTGCAACGGTCTTTGGAGGAAGAACATAGCAGAAAGGCGCCTTGTGATTTAACATGTATAGCTGGAACATAAGACAAACCGTCATTCCGTAATTGATAAATCAACGATTTGCTGCTGATCCCATCCATAATAAACTACACAAAGCTTTAGTGCAGTATTCTTGATTCTTTGGGTTTCTCGTGAGAAATTCAATGACCCTGATATACAGCGAATTCGGTTGCATGACCTTTAAAATACTTGATAACTCGGTGCAATACTGGGGTTCCCGATCTTGTCAGAATATAATTGTCACTGTTCGTGCAGAAGCGTCATACTGAGCATCTCAGTAGATTACAGGGTACTGCTTGTGTGTCGGTACGGGTAACGGTGCCCGTTTGCCAGCCGAGTGAACGGGTTCAGGTGTTCCAAGAGAGATGAACAAGACCATGCAAACACTCACGTTACTCGAAGATGGCTGAATACATGCAGCTTATCGAGGAGCCGCAGTGAAAGAATTCATATATAGATGCATTGTGTCAAATCCTGAGATGACGGCTTGGTTCAACTCATTTTATAAAGCAATCAAGTCTCAGCCACTTAGACGATTCATTTAAATGGATTGAAAATGAGAGGAAATGCCACACATTTATCTGTGAGACAGGCAATAACAAAGATCAAAGTTGCACCGAAAGCTTTCAGTCCGTTGAACCTGTGTGGTGGATTTATTTTGCTCCTCTGTCGGACCAGCCAGTGAGACTTCATTTGAGTGTGCTAGAACATGGGTTTATTGCAGGACAACAGCACAGATAACTTCTCATTTCTGCAGACAGGATAATGTCCTAAAGATAATAAAATAATCGGTTGAAGCATGACTGAAACCGTCGGCGGATCGCTCAACGCCTTTTCAATGTCTAGTACCATAGCAGCCAATAATAAGTGTGACGCGCGGAGATTTTGACCCTTGGTGAGAAGGCTTCACTGTCTAGTATTCTCTTGATGTTTCTCACCAGCAGATGATGAAGAATAAAATTTGCTTAACCAAAGACCTCGTCTTCATTACCTTATCTCTCCTGCCATTAAAGGATTCAGTGCATAAAGCCAGTCGTGCACATCAGATCCACCGTCGGCCAGAGTTTGGATGAGGAACGTGTGCTGCTGTGTAACCAGAGTGAACATGTTGTACCGGGATGAAACCAGCTCGGTTGGAGACAATTTTGTCTCTACCGATGTATTTTTAGATAAAGTGCCTTGATGTCCGTTGAGTGACTGGGGCGACAAGTCCGATGCAAAGGCAACATTGATACTACAAAGTGTAAAGGAGTAGAAAGGCTGCAGTTAAATACTGTTCTAAGCCATTTATTACCACTAAATATTTTACTATGGTCTATCGAGGCGTCCCATAAAGTAATTCAAACGACCATAAAGAGCTTACATTTCTTTGTTGCTGCCGAGCAAAACATAAACATTCAGGTGACGGCATATCAGCAGGATGAAAATCAAACTGGACGAAATTACTTGTGACTCCGTGGGTATAATGATGAATGCACGTGTAACAGTCGCGTGACTTCTCGGGCACTGACTAAATGGTCGGATAAATGTGGCTGCCGAAGTACTGATTGGATTCTATTTTCGGGGCTTGAATACCCAACTAATCCCAATGCACAGAAGAACTTCATGCAGCGATCTTGCTAGCAGGGTAGGAGTGAAAAAAGGTACCGCATTTACTAGCAAGGTTGCGTAGCAAAAAGCATCGTCTTCAGAATCTTCAGAGACTAGAAGCAACTGGTAGATATACGAAGCTCTTAAGGATCGGAACTAACGCGAATGGTCCAAAAATTCCCTAGATATGTAAACGTCGTTTTCTAAAGAGTGAAACAAACAGGTACCTTCTCATACCGTGGACTTCCTTTGGAATTCTTTTGTGTCAGACAAACATGTCTAAGATGCACAGAAAGCTGCTTCTCCAATTTCTCTCAATCGGACACATGCTTCTTACTGAGGTGTGTTTGGAGCGATCTGTGACCTATCAAATGCTTCGGGGTTTCGTATGATTCAACGGCCACGGCTGATGCTCAAAAAAGGCGGATCTATGAACCGAAATCCCAATTTTACACTATCATGTATGTTAGTTTTTCAGTTGGTCACCCTTGCAAACCTACTGCAGTGAAAAAAAATAATTCGTGAAATAATTATGAGGCCGCATACCTTTTTACTATGATTCAGCCAACAAAGCATGAGGCGTCTGTCATTTTTTTAAGAAATGCGAAAGTATTAATTTTCAACCAGCAATTATTTGAGGGTAAATACCTCAAAATATACATGATACCTCAAGCCCATGCTTTACACTGATAATACTGCGTGCGGTAGTCGCGAAAACCTTCATGCGATCAGCATAAGCTTCATTCCCTTATTAGTAACGCTGGGTGCGTCCTGAAAACCATTCAACTTCCTAGTGGACCCATATATCAGGAGTGATCAGAGGCACATAGGAAATCTTAATATTGCTTACATAGCAATATTATGATGTTAAGACATTAAGCCACTTTTTCCCCAAGACGCTTTATCCGCGTATGGTATACGAAGTCACTTTAAGGTAGGAACGGAAGAACACTCGAAATCCTCAAGTAAATTAATGATTAATTAATTAATAATTAATTAATTAGTAATAATGACATGAACTAGAATCTTCAGTTTATCCTTGTTTTTGTTACACTGAATGTTAATGTTAATTCATTTATAGACGTGCCACTTCTCGCCATCATTTTTGCTGGCAGCTGCCTTAATTGTAATGACAGTCATTTATTTGATTGCGTTCGGTTTACCTGAGTCTCTCTCAGTGCAACTCAGTATAACGCAATATAATCCAAAAGCTTAATCAAATGACTGCTCACGCTACTTTTAGCTACGATTATTAGGAGATTTCGCTTGGCATGACAGCAGTCGACCTTCCGATTTTGTCAAAACGATGTTGGCGGCACACCAGGATGGTTGAACAATAAACTGTGAATATTACCCACGCAAGCTGAAACCAACCGAATGTTTCCATGGTGATACAGCTTAAGGAAAAATCACACTGGTCATCTAGGAGAGAAGTCAATTAGCTACAGTGGTACGAATTACACATGCCACCTTTGCAATTTTTCACCAGAACTTCCTCGATTCGCTGAATTGAATCAAACCTTTGCCCGTGATTTTCCGTGCAACATGAACAAAATATTACGTCGGCACGGATACTGGAACAAACAGCGTTTTGGAGCAAACTGATAACTCTAGGTGTCACTGGCAAATTTTTACGAATGATATTTATCTCAAAAAAGGGGGAGGTTATTGCCGCAGATTAGGAAACGACCGACCAACCACTATGTGGTCAGCTAGATAACATTACAAAGAACCGGATTCGTTGTTCCATGGGAGCATTTGAATCGTTGCATTAGCTTCGTATTATTATTCTGCGTGTACGATGTTCTATAAAAAGACGCAAAACCCCTAAAGAGTTATGCATACTGCGTTATGCGTACTGCGGTGCAACCAATACTATCAACTCTTTATGAGAATATCGATAGCGTTTGTGTTCAAAAACTGTTTTGCAGTGGTGCTGACACACTTTCTTACTCTAGAATAGCTACAGGGAGGCTTTTCTCAAGATTTTAATTGTTCATGGTCTATTATGTAAAAATGGCCCCAGCTATTTTACTATGTGTCATATTCGTGCATACTCGGCCTAAAACAAGGTCTTTAGCGAGAGGATACTGCGTTGGAGGTTTCACCAGGAAGTTTCCAAAAGGAACTCAAGTACTGGCAGTTCGAGTTCTCGTGTCCTTCATTCGATCTCATCCAGCTTAACTGGCATTTGCATAGACAGTATCGACCTTGTCTGAGTGCATCATTGATCACTCGCCTAAATGCTTGGTCACAGTTTTTGACAAACCATACTTAAAGCACACAATCCAATGTCATAAACAGCACATACCTCGAAAGCATACCATCAGACTAAAGCCGCAACCACTTTCAGAGCAGTATTGGGCAATGTTAGACTTAAAATGCTTCCCTTCAGTCAAAAAAACCGACCGATCACCACCAACCAGTGCTGTGTGCCCTTGTCTGAGTGCATCATTGATCACTCGCCTAAATGCTTGGTCACAGTTTTTGACAAACCATACTTAAAGCACACAATCCAATGTCATAAACAGCACATACCTCGAAAGCATACCATCAGACTAAAGCCGCAACCACTTTCAGAGCAGTATTGGGCAATGTTAGACTTAAAATGCTTCCCTTCAGTCAAAAAAACCGACCGATCACCACCAACCAGTGCTGTGTGCGTTGAAATAATCGAAGGAGGATAGCGACTAATCAAAGTACTTCAAAACCCTTCCGGATCAGTAGACCGTTTTCAGTTCTGTCCAAACTAATTCAGTGAACTTTATGAGGATCAGCTGTGTATAGTGGTGTGCTTGAGGATATAAAATGTGGACGTTCCAAAGTTAGTGTTTCCGTTATGCCGCAAATCTACAGCTGTTAGGCTTCACGGAGAAGTTGAATGGCTAAAAATTTGGTTCACTCAAACTGTAGAGGCCAAACATAGACTCGGAGGAAGATGGGGCTCTAAAATGTTATGTACTCTGATGTGCTAAGTTTAATGGAAGGGCTCTGAATCAAAACCGTCCCCCATAGTTGCTTTAAGTGTTCATTAACAAAGAGGCTCTTTTAGTGAATTTACCAGTGATGAATACAAGAACGAGAATATGATCATAAGATGTTGCAGCCTTTGGATGTTACTACCAAGGACTTCAGTGATGTGCAGTTCCATTGTACAAATTTTGTAATGGCAACCTTGTCAATAAAACATGCTATTCAGATGCACCTGTGTATAAAATTCAAACAAAAATTTCCTCTTAAATAAACTTACTCATACTCCAACTGAGAAGTGGTCAAATTGACCAAACACCTTTCAGTCGGGTCTTGCTCATTTTCGTAGAGGTAGAGGAAAGGTCTTCGTACTACAGCCCACCTGCGTAGCCATCCGCCAGTTTTCTCCTCCAAAACAAGTAAGTATCCTTTGCGACTTACAACCGGACTGACACGAACCTAAAATTGGAAAACAAACTTTTGGTTCGGGACGAATAAGGCTGGGATTAAGATATCAGAAGTTCTGGCAATTTTCATCAGCCTCATTTTGTACTTCAACATCGAATCAAAGGTGAGCAGAAACAACCATTCACCTCCTAAGAAAGATGGTTGTAACGGAAAATTAAACGGAAGGATAGCTAGATCACCCTGTCTTATAGTACTCATAAAGACATAAATGAAGAGGCATTGGACTGCTTGTCGGGCCAAAAATACACCGATTTCTGGGGTATCGTTCCAAATGAAACACGAGTTGGCTTTGGTGAAGTACAGTTGGTTGAACAATACACAAGAAATTTGGATGAGATTCATTTCAGTCTCGTTAACACTTAATTTCCAAACGAGTTTAGCTGCATACAGTCAAAAAGAGACTGATAGAAATTTGAGGACCAGGCCCACCTACAGGGCAATGACAAGAGAAAAGTTGGTACATGATTGTTCAGGAGTTTTCAAATGTGTATTCTTTATCCTATAAAAGGGAACGCGAAAATGCCCCCATGCCAGCAGACGGAATCGAAAATAAAAGCTTGTATGAGGAGTGGATCACTCGTTATCACGCACATTGTAGACTACTAGTGATTTCACAGAAAAATGCTTCATTTCGTGTCGATTTTGGACACGATGAAGTAGACTGAAGAGATGTTGGCGTTTATGATGGCAGTGCACCAGATGATGTATCTTACAAGGAATAAAAATGTCATTCTTTCTGAGCTACAAAAAACGCACCTAAAATCCGTACTAATAAAAACAGTTTAGCATCATTTGGACGTGTCAGTCTAAGAAAATGAATTATACTAAATTATTCTCACATATATGGGTGACCTCCGAATGAAAACTCTTACTCTGGGAAGTTCACAAAAGTTTTCTCTGCCAGAAACTATCCGTCACGAGTACAATCCACGTAAGATAAGAGATATGGAGGCTCTGTCTTTTCTTAAGACACACTCTCTCCTTGTGGAAGTCAGTATAGGTAACCAACTTTATTATTTAGTCAATGTATGTTGAGTAATCAAAAATGCAGCAGATAAATAACAAAGACCGAGATCTCATTGGACTTTTTTGTCACGATCCCACTACACCTGCAGAAAACCAGATAAACACATGTGAAGTAAACACGACCGAACTATTTGCATGTTTTGCATTGAAATAGGGCTAAATAGTTATCCAGGAAGAAACACGTAGTGACAATGTGTGCAGTCAAACGCGGTGAATCTGAAAGCATAGTTTGCTGTTTGTTTGGTGAGTCTTTTGTTTTTAACTGGGTTAGACATTGCCTGGTCTTGAAAAAAGCACCCGATAGGTTGCGTTAAAAAACTTACTACTGCATTGCGTGTGGCAGAAAAAGTGGTCTTGTTCTTTACTAAGAAGTTAAGCTTCCATGTGTTTCCCCATGGACAACGTGAAAAAAACCTGTGGTAAGTTCGTTTTAATACATTCTTTTGAGCTGTCCTACAAGGAGTGAGCTATATCGGCATGCTTTGAAATTTAAGACTTCTTATCAGCACTATTTGAACCGACGTACCTCGTCACATTCGCCAATAAGTCGTGGAATGCGTCCCGTGTCCCTGACTGATGGAAGTAAAAAAGCACCCGATAGGTTCGCGTTAAAAACTTACTACTGCATTGCGTGTGGCAGAAAAAGTGGTCTTGTTCTTTACTAAGAAGTTAAGCTTCCATGTGTTTCCCCATGGACAACGTGAAAAAAACCTGTGGTAAGTTCGTTTTAATACATTCTTTTGAGCTGTCCTACAAGGAGTGAGCTATATCGGCATGCTTTGAAATTTAAGACTTCTTATCAGCACTATTTGAACCGACGTACCTCGTCACATTCGCCAATAAGTCGTGGAATGCGTCCCGTGTCCCTGACTGATGGAAGTTGAAGAGAATCCATGGTCACAGATTGATGGATTTCAAAATCTGTAGAATGTTGGGAAGCAGATTAAGAACGGAACTTTGAAGTATCGGTTACAAGGGCAGTGGACGCGTAAGTGGTTCATTCAGACTAACATATGAGAAAGTTTGAGTTTGCATCGATGAACTGTGAAGGAAGTTCAGGAGCCAGTTATCAAAAAGGAACGGATGCTGAATAAAGAGGGCTGTAGACATGTGATCCAATACCTAATCATTGTTCTCTTTCTGATTCAGGTTTCCATCTCGTTCGTGACTGATTAATAAAGCTCTCGACAATTGATAGCCGGATAGTTACAAGAAACATTTTTCCTGATATTTGGTATCCTGTATTATGATAAAATTGTGGGTTCTGCATTGCTGCTGTATCCAACGAATCCTGTTCCTTTATTCAGTTCTCAATCTCAAACACAACGATTTTGACAGCTGTGCCAGACTCAGGGGACCGGCATGCAAACGTGAGTAAATCGTGATGCTAATAGCGCTGACGTGGGAGAAGAGAACGCTGGTTGACGGGACGCCTGTCTCAGTTTGCAGCCATGGGGAAACGAAGAAGTTTTTCTCATACCCTCAAAAGTTCGGTTGGGGGATTCATCGCCGATGAAACACATATACTTTACGCTGTTAGCGGAAGGTTTCTGAAGAAACCTCAGCATCACTGCAGTGAAGCTGACAGCTGTTTGAAAATTACTTGGATCCCATATCGAACCAGTCGCATCCGGCATGTCCATACCTACTATAAAGCGTATTGTGGTGATAGCATCTACGGTCGTACTACATAAGAAAAACTACACACCAACTTACTTTCTTCTGTATTTGTTTGTGAATTCGAAGGATTTGATGAGTTGATTTCCGTTGAATCCAAAATTTTTGGCCATGTCCTGTCTTCTTCACTCCGACTGTTGGTCACATTTTCAGCCCCATCCCTGGGTTGTTCTTGATTAAAATCGATCTCGGACAGCTTTTTTAAATGAGCAGAACATGATGAAATCAAATCTACAGTCCCCTTAGATGCAATCAAGAGAAACTTAACCTACCTAAAACACTTAACTTTATTGATACTATAGAAATGTCCTTGATTATCCATATCTGACAGACTTCAGCAAAATTTAGTACTGACAATCAGAGGAAACATACTCTATGTATTCTAATCAGTGATTTTAGTACCCACGATTATAGACGGATCATTAATAAAGTGGAAAATTCAAGTCGTCCACGAATCATATGCATCCATAAATCACACTTGCCTGGACGTAATGTCTTCCATGACAATTCAAACACACGCAATTGCTCGTTTGGGGAAGTGAAACTCAAGACTTGTATTAACCAGAGGAAAAACTAAGAACACGAACATTAAAAGCATGATCGTGAAAGGATGAGGATCCCTCAAACCAGGGTGATGTCTGCAAATTCTACAAATCACACTAACCTCTCCTGGACTCAACAATTTATTGGTCATTTGTAGCAAGGAAGTGAGAACCTCCACACATCGGCTCATCATCAGCTGTTTTCGTGCCTCATTGGGGGAACCCTGAACAAGAGAAGTTTCGTCCCACTCAAAGAAGCTTCTTGACAGAGGATCAAGAGTGTAGAGTCTGCTGTCTGTTTTATATTCGGCAGAGCGTGTGAGTCGACTGTGAGATATGCCAAGCTGAATAGGATCATGGGTTTCCAGATTGACACTATCAGCAGTGGTTATCGTGGAGGCAGCCAATCCACTGTCTGAATGTTTGTCATCTTTTCTGAAGAAGAAAGGGACATAAATGTCTGGAGTATTAGTCTAGATAGTGTGGTTGAGTTCAAGTTGTACCTCTCCCCTTTTCTGCTAGGCTTGACATCGAAGCCACCAGTAGGAGAATTTTGCGAGGATACAGGGGTAGACTATTAGTGCAAATAGGATATTGTGCTGGGTTTCCCAGTAATGAAGGATTGTATGGCGACAGTTTTCTTAACAAAACGACCAAATTTGAGAGATATTGCATGCTACACCACCTTGTTCAGTCGCAAATGTTCGTAGGTTCCTCGTGCACTGATTTTCTGGGGCGCTGACAACCAAAAGGTTTCTAGTGATCAAACCTAACGTTCTTTCTTCATGCAATTTGCCTGCTTCCCGTGAATTTTCACGCAAATTATCAGCTACCGTAGCGGTCCCTAGAGGAACTCGTTATTTTGTGTACAATTATTCCCCAGTTTTCGCTCAGCGTTATACATACAACAAGAGGAATGGAGTGGTGACAAACATTTCACTCTGCCTCACATCAACTGATATTCTACTAGCAAGTATGGACATGATTAGCTGGGTAAACTGCATAAACGAAGACTGTTTCAGGAATGATACGTGTGCAACACTTTCATTGTTCTTCACACCTACATTACAACTGACCAGTAACTTTAACTCGACACATTCAGTAGTCATGTTTCATGTGGATAGGAATGCACGCGGGATGTCAGAGGGGCGTACTGCAATAAAGCATGATGACGAATTTCGATGACTCTTTGGCTTTGAAGAGGAGGTGCTTGTTGAACATGACTCACGGGATTTTTGCTTACGTGACTTATTACTCCGACCAATCAAACCAAAATTAACGAATTGACTGGTTCGGTAATCTCCATCCCCCCGTCCATGTAAAGTATGCAGAACGACACTAATCTGATAAAATGATTGCTGACACATCTGGGGTATTGCGACCATTTCAGATCCAAAACGAAAAGACAGAATTTGACGAACTTTTGCCTTACTAATTTCTTTCAACTAGCCTTCTCAGAAATGTTATTTTCATGAGGAGGGCACAATCATGAGGTCGCAAAAAGAAAACTTATGACTAGTGTATTATGTCAAGTGAAGATATCACTATGTCTCAAATATCTTACCAATTGACATACTGGACTACCTTTGCTCATCACATATAGTTGAAGAATATTGTCAACGAAACAGTCCGCTGAGCCACCTAATAACACCGAATTATTCTGCAAATGAGTGTACTTCGTGGATTTCGGTGTGGATACAGAACATAGAGTAGATGGAAATTCGGGGCGATGCCTACCGGGGGAGCTCAAAAAAGGGCGAATTTGATCGTGAGTTGTCGAAGGGTTTTTGGCATTCTTGTGTGATTATGGATTCAACTTTTACGCCAGAACAATGTTAGAGGTGCTGCATGTTTAACTATCCACTAGGAAGCATCTTAGCCGATGGGCCTCCAAAGTGGATTTGCGACATCCCCAGAATCTCTACCATAAGTATCCTTCTGAAACTTATCTATCACCAGACCGGCTAACGTATTCATCACGTGATTCGAATGGAATAAACATACTGCTGATGTTTCGAAGCCAGTATCGTGAGATACGGTAACCATATTGACTACTCCCTCATGATTGGCGACGGGCCGGTATAGTGTAGCTGCAGTATCCTGCAGTATCACTAACACAAGATCGGGATCATCCTAAAATTTAACTAAAATTATGCCGTATACTTCTATACTGTCTTCCACGGCTCCTGAAGTAAACTCAACAATCAAGGAAACATCAAGGCCAGAATTAGTGTATCAACCGACCTGATCAACAATGACCACGACTGTTATGTATGTTAATTTGAGCTAACACGTGTGTAAACTCAAATTTGCATCCTAGATGCAAGGAAACCAAAACCGAATCTGGTTTACTTCAATTAAGGTGTGATTTTTGGTTTGCAGGCGATATACAATCAGGCAAATAACCCATATCCACCAATACACTTAATCACAGTAGCTACTGGATTTTCAGGTAAAAGAACAAACAAGCACTGACCGGGAAGTCACCGGTTCAAAACCCCCTGAATTTAGCTATATGTTTACTGCTGGTGATTCCCAATAGGGACCAAACAGCTTCTAGGCTTCTGAGCTTTTCAGCATTGACTAGCCTCACTTACAGGACGAGACTGAGAATGAGAGTCATCGGATTTCACACTAACATCAAAGAAGAAGTAACTTATATAGCATGTCATATAACCCCATTCTGTACCCAGTCGAGTCTTCCGTATGAGGCATTTGTCAATATCCAAGTTCCCATTAAATGGGCGCCAACTTTGTCTTAAACGCACCGTCTGCGGTTTGCAATATGGAACAAATCAGAGCCCAATGGCTTATTAGGTGAACGCTCAAACAGACCGAAAGACCAACAATCCAACTGCAAATCTCGGCGACCAGAACAACAGCCAAGCAGCGCGCCAAGCTATCTATTGCCTGCAACATTGCCAGATCAACTCTGAGCTGAATTCCGCCATATCAGTTCGGACGTGATATTCTGAGGTGAACATTGAGGGCTAACAAAGTGGTTGCCAGTTGTGTATATGTGCTCAACATTGCCTTTATCATTGTCTTAACCAGTACATCTGATTGTAGATGGGTAAACTTATGATGTTACTTTAAAAGTATTTCAAAGTCAATTACACCACGGTATCTACGATCAGGCTTTCCGCCAACTGTGTTTTGTTACCAAATTACAGCCAATCTTTTATCGACATGCTGAGTGTCTGAAATACCGCGATGCAAATAGTTGTTAGCATTTACACAAAAGGAGCCTTGTACTTACCCTTTTTTATCAGAATTTTGTTCTACATCGTCAGCATCTTTAATGGCGTCACGTCGGAATTGGGTTGCAAACTGTCTCTGGCGGTATTCTCGTTGACGCGAGGCAAGTATCAGGCGATCCAAACTTAACTGCGGATCCAGCCGCCCCGTTGTTTTCAATGCCTCCCGAAGGAGAAGGAGATGCCGTGACTTTTCTACCTGTTAAGGAGATATTTTTCAAATAATTCAGCCTTATTTCTTCCAATATGTTAGTCAAGATGCTCACATTCCCAAACAATGACCTTTATAGATAATACCACACGCAAAAATTAAATCGCTTCTAGTCTCACTTTGGCAATAAATATCAGGTGTTACTGAATCATTTTCTCAAACCTAGTCCTCGCCACCACGTCACCAGTGTTTTCAATGGAGTTCCTAAAGCAACAATTGCTCGAATATCCACAACGAGCTTTCTACACCCCGCCGATATAACCCCTTTAAATTGAGATGTCAAGATCATCTGTGGGAGATACACGATGATAATACAACAAGCTCCGAATGCTCTTTTAGATTGCCCTAAGTTTTGTTAACACACATCCATACAATAAATCGCGGATTTCTGGAACCTGAAAGTGGATATTAATAGGCTTCTCTTCTCAAAGAATTTGCTAGAACCGTTCTGTAAACAAGCATATTTCAACCTCCGAAAGGAAATATTTCCCCCAGTGAATTTAGGACTTGAAATAGGGCGCAATAATGCAGATTGGGAATCAAGTATATGGTTCGCGAAGTGCGTGCACTCTCACGGCTCTCAGTTGACCTCACTTAAGGTACACAGATCTCTGTTTAGAGTTCTGCTATGGTCTCTGCTTTGGTCCTAGAAAAACGTTTCTTTCCGTTCATCCCAAACGGCCTCAAAGCTAAAAGAAACACGGTTCCAAGTGTGGGAGATTGTTGCAACTAAATTCACAGATCAGAGCCACGGGTATAACACTAGGCGTGGCTACATCCGTCTTGCGGATCCATGGGGACTTGAACAGTAGGGGAGTAATAAGGCGGACGTTAGATTCACAAATGGAATAAGGATTTGGGCGAACAGGTACGTAACATTGGGAGAATTGTTATGAGAATGATTTCTATATGACCAGCAAGCGAACGCATCATCATCATTCTTGGAGGATACGGTTGCTGATGGGAATTACTTGCAATCGGATGGTGATACAAATGAAGTGGGAGAAGTATATCCACATGGTACGGCTACCCATTCTGACCATGATCAAAATAGTCAAGTAGTACAGAGAAGAGAAAAGATGGGACGATAAAACACGTACTATTTGAGCCAATATTCAGTTTAGCAACCGACAGGCAGCTCCCCACACGTTTGGGGAGGGATACATACAGAGTAACAAGCTATGATTAACGCCTACTTAAGGAACATGGTAACATCGCTACACACTGACGCGACAAACAACTACGTCCTGGTGTCGTCCACTTGACCGGCGTCAGAATATTCGTAACAAAGCCGCTAAGTTCAGTGAACAGGTTAAACATTGTGCACTGCATAAGCCAACATCGACACTACCGGATTATCAAGTTTACTGCGTAATACGCATCAGCCAAAATCTCAGTGACTAGGATAATTTGTGAACAGACCTCAGATATGAATATATAATGGAATGCCTAGAAACCGCTGACTAACTGGAACTGTATGTGTATCTGTCCTTCAAACAGATAACGGTGCAGCCCGTACTGATGAATAATAAGTGTGAATATGAAAAATCAAAGATACGCCTTGTTGATAACACAAGTGGCGCGAATTCGTGAAGGCAATTTTACCATTTTGTATCCGTCTACAGACTTCACTCCCTTAGAGATAATAATCTCGCATGCATCCGACAGTCAGATGTCATTCAATAAACGGTGCGTGAGATAACGTCCAATTCGGACGTGCAGCACTGTGGTTACATCGACTTGGTCCCAATCAGAATGCGTCAAACCGATTTGAGCAAATTGTTTTGTGTTTTGCATACATAGAAACAGTGGTACTCTGATGCTGTGAAGAACAGTTTACACACTCACCCCACCAACTGCATGAACGCTACACAACCTCTCTAAACGCTTATATTTTAGGCCTGGAGGGAAATGCAATCCCCCCACCACCACCTAAAACAAAACGCACACTCTGTCCATACGTGTAGGTGATTGGAATATGAAGTTCAGATGACAAAATCGCAGTTCATTAGAAGCATAATGCCCAGTTTACCACAAACGACAAATTGAACCTCAGAAGGTTAAACAAATTTACTCGTAGTTATTAAACGTTACGAGTACAAGCTCTTGGTGCCACGTACAAACGGCAGGATCTTCTACCTTTTCGACGATTCATCAATCTAAAAGCCAACAGTCTGACAATCACTCAAGCAATCAGTCAGTCATCTATATCTATCTTTTTACTCATCCACATATCAATTTATCCATTTATCAATCTGTTCACTTTTCTCGAATCCCGACATCTGAAACAAACAATGCCTCTCTGTTCTTCAGAATGATATAGGGAAACTGAATGTCGGCTAAGTAGCACACGCAAATTGCATTTTCGCGACGTTTATAATAACAATGGACATTCTTACCGAAATTATCCGACTGAAACGGTCCAACTCCCACTGATGTTCAATTATTAATGAATCCCCGCGAGGTCTCCACCCTTTGATGTTTTCCTCCCCACGTACATAGGTTAGACTGCTATCCGTAACCGGCTGCGGTCGGTGAAGGATCCCTGTTATGCGACGAAAGAGAGTTATGAAGACCAGTCTTTAGATGATGTAGCTCAAACCGACTAAAGTTTACTTCAAGCTCGTACAGAAAATTAATGCTGGTGAAAAATTAAATGATTTTAAATAGTACGCGTAGAGCGCCGTCTCATAAGTTTGTAATTATCGGACCACTAATGAGGACGGTGAAAATTTTTGATTTTGGAATCCGTACCAAACAATGGTCTGCAAAATATTCGACACGTCAATTTCTGATTACAACAAAACGCCTTTCCAGGACCCATTATTCTGACTTAGAAGTACATTGCTTGCATCTATACCGCAGCAATGGGACGAAATTTCTCTGCACGGCGTTTAGATTTCTCCTGGTGTCAAGTTGAGAAAAATCTGAGTCGTTTTTGCACAAATGGGCTGATTGTCGTTTAGGTTTTTCTACTTGTGTTCTTCGTCTTTCACAACCTACTTAGACAGCAAATCACAGGGAAAGTTTTTTTATCACGCTTCATGAACTAACTGTCCTACCAGCAACATTTTCTCATGATCAGTAATGCCATAATTCGTCTGATACTAGTGGCTGGTATCGCTATTTCAATTTCACTAGTATTATGATCGTGTGGCTGGTCTGGGGGGTGCAGTATGAATGAATTGGTTCAGAGATGATTGTCACTTAGCTGGGTAAATGATGACACTAAAGCACGACCCAGTTGATAAGCATAAGCTATTCACTTAACTTCACCGTCATTTAATGCGAATGAGAGATTTGTGGTGAATTCTCAGCGATATACATGGTGGTAGCAGAATAACCGTTTGTTTCTTTAGCTTCTCAAGCATGCTTGTAGGATTTAATGCACCGATGACTAGAGGCATTCCCGCGCAGTGATGTTTATAAATTTATATATACATGCCAACGGGACCTGCAACTGTATTATTTATTATTTTTTGGAAAGATTTGCAGCGCGAACACTGAACGAACCCGAGCGGAAATTTCTGGTAAGACAAACGGGAGGTTTCCACCTGCTCGCCCGAAGCAGCTGAGGAATTTAAAAAGGCTGTTTAAATTTCTCGTGCTGAATTCCATCACTTTAAGTGTAAAGTAGTGGCAAAAAAAGTCGAGTAAATCTAAAATGCAAACATACGGAACAATTACCATGGATGAATAGCAATTCCATCCAGCGAAAAAAAACTGAGACATTAATCAATCCACTCGGAACATCAAGGAGAAAATGTAGTCTAATGCTTTGTGAGTTCCAGGGAGCTTGAACGATTTCGGAAATTAAGATCACGGTATCTAGTCCGTTTGCCTCGCTCCCAGACCAGACATATGTCCTCTAATTCGAAGTGTCTGAAAGACATTAAGTTGTTGAATGTACCGCATCTTACCCTGTTCGTGTTCATGCTGAGCTGTCGAACGAACAGGAGAACAAATTCCTCACGGAGTAGGTAGTAATAGACGGATTACAGCCGAATAAGAAGATATACGCGATAAGAAAGATACATAAATTAGGTCTACTATTTCTTGCTGCAGGAAAAGTCCCCAAAATCACGTGCAAGGCTTTATGCTTGACGCAAATAATGCATTTTGAGCGCTCTTACATTCAGGAATGTGACAGAATTAGACGTTTTGTTGCGCAAGGAAACAAGTTTGAAACATATGTAACCATTTTTCATCAAGATGAAGAACATGCCTCTCAGAGTGTCACTGTACAAATAAGTGGGTCGAATGCCATTTAACAGGTGTTTGTATGCAGAATAACTTGATGTGAGGTAAATGACTTCGGGTCCAGAGACATGTCTCTTGATTGATTGCATTATTGATTCATGGAAAGTACAGAGCGATTGCCTTTGGCAACAATAAATCGAATACGAGCCAGATACAGCTTTACTTGGGTCCAACATAGTGTTTTCGGATTGGTGTGTTCCTTGGCGCTTATTAAACTGATCGTAAAAAGATCTTCGAAATTCCCACCAACAGGTGTACTCATTAACAAAATTCAAGTTCCAAAGACACTAGACATTCTGGTGCAAATTGCTTACTAATTTGCAACTGAGGCAGCTCACAATTTATTTTACGGCGACATTCTTCCTAATAAGGATGAATAAACTGCAAAAACATCCCACATTGTTGCTTTCCATTAATCACGAGCGGAGGCGAATTCCGAGCATATCTTCATCCAGTTTCTCTTCCACTGTTTAACCTTTGAGACCATCTGAAGATAAAGTAGTTGAATGTCGGTCTTACCCGTATACATTCAAGATTTTTATTGTCCTTCAGGACCACTGTGCCATCTTTAGTAGGGCAGCAGGGAGAGTTTTGACAGTTCAGCTCTTATTTACAAAGTACTTGTCTCAACCATCGCACTCGGGCACTGAATCAATTCGGAAGCTTAAAGTGTTATGACCGCGGCCCTTGACACCATCATTGGATGCTCTGCCATTCCAAAAAATGTTTTGAGTTTTCGCCAGTTGGCGAAATATTCTGAGCCATCTATGGTCGATAGTTGGGGTGCACAATAGCACCAATCAGAGCGTTGCAGGAGCTTCATTCGAAAGCTGATTTCTAGACGCTTCCATAGTACGGTATGAAGGTGAGCAAGGTCATCCTGGAGTTGTTGGTGTGAATGACTATTTATGGTTGAACTTCACAATCTTGAAGGGTGGAGGGCCCAAGTGCTTGATTTACTGGTTTTCTGTGAACAATAAGCGGACTAGACTGGGTGCACATGCCTGTGATGAAGATTCTCGTCTTTTTAAGAATTCATTCAAGTGCAAACAGGGAAGACTTCCCACAGTGAAGTCTTTAATGAGAAATTCCTACTAACTGCCTTCTCTCTGTGGAAGTGTGTTCACCAAAGTGAAAACAAGAAGGTACTGACCTTCCTGAATGTTTATTGGTCATCCTTCTAGGGAACCTGGATAAACCTTTTTTTAAAAACAACGGCTCTGCTAGATTGCGTGGATGAGATTAAGTTGTGAATGTTGGTGTTGCCGAGTAACTAAACCCTATGTGTTTTCTGCCGTCTTGCTAGCTGCACTTGGCTGTGCAAAGGCTGGAAGTGCACCATCGATCATAATCCAGATGGTGCTGTGATGCAACCCGTTACGAATCTCCATGGAACTTCAAAGATAATGATCAACTGTGGGTTGAATTTCTGTCGGATTTTAGCCCAGAAGGACGATGTCATTAGAGTAAGCAAGGACCATGGTCCGGACAAGCCTTACTAGAATTTCACGGAGATCGTCAGTGAACCAATCCAGATAGTAGAAATCATCAATGGAATTGCCGAAAACAGGAGGCCAAAACAAATGCCATGGTCTCTTACCTTCCTTTCCACTTTCTTGCCTTTAGGATATATTCATGGATTAACATAGAGTTGTATTCTAGCGATGCCCCTATTGTCACACGGTTTCTGTCCTAGAGTGCAGCTCCAGGCTTTGCACAACCCAGTGCCGACTGCAAGACGCAGGTCACTGTGGACAGCAGAACCACTAAGAGGCCTCTGGAGTATAGTTCAACCTCTTTAGCCTACTCAGTCAGATTTGGAGTCTACTCGGATTCATCCTTCTGGATTTTGCACACAGTAGGCCCTCATGGCTATCGGCGCCCGGTACACCGTTCGTACACCAATTCGGTGGCAGCAAGTTCTGGTCAGAAGTTCATGTTTTTTGTGGCGTGTGAAAACCTTTTACGACGTGGTAATACTCGCCACGTCTTGGTTTCGCCCATCTGTCTTACAAGTTGAGCCTGTCATTCTAAGTGAACCCAGTGGGCTCGGTGAGTGTTTTGCGTATTCTATTCAGTCATTAGCGCACAGAAGCCCATCATTCTGCTGGTTCCGGTGCCCAACAGAATGAAGGAAAACAATTATTCTGGTGGGATTTCGTGCATCCTAAACGTGACTTACAAAAAAAGCCATACTTTCAAAGCTTGGTTGTTGGACTATTTGTTTTTCACTGGGAAGAATACTTATCTTAACTCAACGATGTGATTCCGAAAGATGAAAGCATGGCTACGAAAACAGAAATATCGTATAGTCGCGTGTAGTGCTAATAAAATGATGTTTCAGGGCAGAGGTGTCATGTAGAGCTGTGTTCCTCCAGGCTGCATACCATTATTACTGTGCGGGGTAAGTTAACATGGGGCATTTTTTTCAGTTTCTGCTGAAAGCAAATAGAAGGTTGCGCAATGCCACTATCTTCCGAAAGATTTACCTTCCAACCACCGCTTCGACGGGATGAAATGCATTATTCACGGAACACAGTTATTAGCTCATCAGTATCAAACAGCTACTAGCATCGATTTGTCAGTACACGGCCACCACACTACGTGACACATTAGACGGCGATTCTGGTGTTCCGACTGTCATGTTGGGCTTTGAATGCTAATTTTGAGATCTTTTAGCTAGTAGGAGCAATCAAAAGCTGTCGCCCTGAAATTCGCTTTTATTTACTAATTTTAAAGCAAGAAGGATAGGTTGTGAAACTTACCACTTGAAAGCGGTTGTCGTAGCTGAAGATCGTACACGGCGGACAGTCGGCTGTTTTCCGAAACCCGGCAAATCGAGCTCCATAGTGATCGGAGAGATCTAAGTAGAGCATGGGTTGGGTGGTGGGTAAGACGCGAGCTAATGCCCGCCGAAGAAAACAACAAAGACTTCATCATCCCTCATGGTGTCAGCAGTAAAAATATCAAGATCTATCTAAATCAGATGACCAAGGAACTCCAATGTAGTGGCTTTTGACAAGTTTTCCACGTTCTGGTAATGGAATTACCAATAGGGTGACATTGGATGACATGTATGATGGCATGTGTGAGAATGAGAAACTCCATGTTATAGAGGCTGTAGGCAGCGACTATTAGCGCAGATTTCGCCCTGCACTAACTTTTAACACCAGAAAATCTTCAGGAGTGAGGACAGTGCACACGGCTCTTTTCTGGACTCATAAGGCTGGCGAGGACCTCTGATAGCCCACTTCCGGTTTCAGCTTTTCTGTGTATATTAGAGAGAACCAAATGGTAAATAAATACCGCTATACACTCATTTGCAAATAAGGCTGAGTTTAACGGAAAACTCACTTGAATGTCCCCTGAAACTTTCTCCCATGACAAAGTCCAAATCAATTTACTGCACGATGTTCGTCTTACGATTCAGTTGAAATTACATGTTCAGCCAATATTCAGCTGAGTCTTACGGCAGAATCAGGTTTGATTGCTAAGTAGAATATATGGGGTCCTAGTTTCTCTACACAATGCTTGATTATTTGGATGTTCTTCATGCATGTTCATGCCTGCCCGTTTGTTTTTGTGCATTTTATGCGACTTGTTGCATGGACATCTTCTAGCCCGTTGACTGATCAGGGGCCATCGATTACGTTCACTCATAAACAGCCATATGTATGTTCATTCGAGATCGTTTGGTTTGTGATTTTCGCTTCTCAGGCGACTGGGAGTGTGCGTACCACTAATATAAAAAACATGCCTTTATTTACTAGATCAGTTTGTTAAAAGGGAGTGTATGTTGAATGAGTGAACAAGCCTTCGGTGTTGTGACTTGTCTGGCAACTTTGCTTGTATACAGATGCGAAGTAAACGGAGTTCCTCACCAGCCCCTGCGTTTGTAAAAGTCGTGACTTGTAACGACCGGACCTGTTCGACGGGCTAAAACAGTATTCCTCATCAAAGAAACAGTAGTCTCTATCGTGCAAAACCTGTCTTCTAGCTCCTAAGTTAGAAGGATGTTGAAAAACTGCGTTCACGTTGTTCTAGTTGGACTATTCAGGTTACTCTGTTCATTGCGTTTGGAAGTGGATTTTAACTTCAGTAGCTAAGTAACTTGCTACTGTTGGAACGTAGTTGTCTCTTCACTAGCAAGACTACGTAAGATCACGTTGTTTTAGTACGGACCAAGCTTCAAAACATCGAGCCAAATGAGCAACGAACTGTACACAGAGGAGGTTCTGGATAATCAAATTGTATAACAACATCAATAAGCATTTCACTTATTATGAAAAGACTTATTTTGGTTTGCGTGAATGACGACACGCATGCGGACCAAAGTTTATTTAGTCATAATGTAGGCTTTCTTATCATGCTGCCGTTCAGGAAAATAAATGGAAGTAACCATGCGCAGTAGTTTCAATGGTACTTGAGAAAATCCAAAATAACGCCACCATTTTGAATGAGTTAAGAGAAGATTCATGCGAGTTTACAATGGGTCATGCGTCAGGCGTACATGTCGGTTACGAATGATTGCTAGTTTGGTGACTGCATTCAAAAAGCCGATGGTAAAATTCCCTCACACTTAGCCTGTGATGTACATCTATCCCAAACCGCTCAAGTAATGGAAGAGTGCACTTTGATGGGGACCATTCTCCAACACTGAAAAACACGCATTAGAAAGAAAACCAACCTGGGTACAGAGAGTTTAGATTCTCTCGGAAACACCATCATCGCCAGATCTTTGGTGAGACATATAGGCCTAGTGCAGCCACTGACATCCAGATAACATGACATTGTCAGGTAGATACGCTGACCAACGGGAGTGACTCGATTAAGCAGTGGGGAAGAGTGCAGTGAACTGTCCCACGCAGCTTCAAAGCGGAAAAATATCCTATCCGAAGAAAGAAAAATAAAATTATAATTGTTCCCCATGTGTACTAGAAGACTAAATAAAAATCGGAACCGGTTACTGTTAATATTTGCCGTGCGCATGTGACTCAGTAGCCTTATTGCAGTCTGTTAAACGATCCCCATTACATCATAGACACCGTCTTAATATCCAGTGAACATGAGGAATTCAGATCCAAAAATCTGCCGAAATGGTTGTATGTCCCGTCATGAGTCACCTGTCATAAGCTGCTGCGGTGAATTTTTCTGTGGAAATGAACCAGAAATACTCCACTCATCTGAACAGTGTAATCATTAACGGTCAGTTAGGTTCTTTTGACATTCAGAACTTTTGCTATTTTGTTCCATCTTGTAGATGTTTTACTGAATACGTTCGTGTTTGTCATATAAATTGCGATGTATTAGGCAGGTGATCAGTCATGGAACAATTGCCTTGTTTGCTGCACTGCGGCTTTTAATAGCTTTCGCCTGAATATTCAGTCACTCGGAACAGTTAGAAGACCAGGCCTGCTGGGATGACTCCAAAAGCCCTTCTGGTAGGGTGCTAGACTTACAGAAGAGAAAACAAGGCAACAGTTCCTTAGCGGATGTGTCCAACAAACTAGCTTTATCAAATCCTATTTGAAGGATTTGAAGGACCCAATTTATTCTACGGCTACTGCATTCAGATAACAATCGATCAAGCAAATATAAACCGGCGTCATGGGCGTACGTAAGCTGCATTGTAAACATGCACAATACGCAGGATCGCTGACGGAGCTGATTTCGAGGTTAAATTAAACAAACCGTTTCCAGATGGACGGAGCCTGTGGCGGACAATCTAAACAGGAGACTCAACTTGGTGGCTTCACCTGCAGTGTGTCTAGCCAACCAAAAAGGTGTTTCCCTTAATCAGATCGTATCTGAAAGGTGAAATACCAACCACCTCATCAGCTTTTGTATATACTTGTTTTCATGCTCATGTGGAGCATTGCATGCTGGTTGTACACATAGGTGTTTTTTTTTGACACAATACGTGAATACCATCTCTTTTCGCTGACCAGTCGACATTTTTGAATCCAGCTCCAGCGTCGTCGACTTTCATTTAGTTGAAACCTCGCACAAAAATAGATATTGATCAAGCCGGTCGCAGCATACACTGGGTGCGATTCGATCGATCTTACTCTATGAAGAACCGGTTATTGTATACGGATGAGACAATCACAATCTGCTGGCGCATTCCTGACCCTTACACTCAAAATCTATGCTGATCCACTGTTGGTCGCTCTTTTAAGTGCCCACTGACCGTGACCTGACTCTTTTGACATACTGATCTCTCTTGAAGATGTTGTGCCGGACCTTGTCTGTGTATGTCAGCCGGATGAACAATTGCAGAAAACAGGCTTCGTTGGCGACACTTTTCTACGTCAAGTGAGCTGCTAATAAGGACATCGGGTCCTTATACCGAACTCGGCCTGCGGTATATTACGATCTGTAAACTTGCCATCAGCCCACCGGTGCCCGCCAGATGAATAAAAACGAACCCTTTGAATGAAAACTGAGCAGACATCTGACATACATAGTTTAGAAGTATGATATACCGTAGCTCAACTGAAGTCAGTGGCGGAACCGTCTGCCTTTTTAAAATATAACCGACTCTTTGAGTTTGCTTCCTGAAAACTGTCACTTTGGAATACGTTAAGCAGCTCTCCTGGGACATGTATATTTTCGGGCTTCAGGTATTGCTTTCATTTGCACCCTCAGTTTCTCAAAGATTGAGAGCTTTCGCTTGGTCATGATATCGCTTGGTGTGACAATGGTCCCTAGACGGGTTAACCAGACAGGCGGGTACAAGCAGTAGCGATTGTTACCTCATGAGATTCATAACGCGAGGGGCAGCATGGTTTTGCTCTACAACCTACAAATCTGCTGTCTTCTTTTTTAGATCCTTGCCACTGACTCTTTAAACATGTCAATTCAACTTCAGTCAAAGGTTTCTTTTCATTTACTTCATATTTGGCTTCACCTGTGCTGTGATGAGGCATAGCATTTTCTTAGGATTCTCAACATTATTAATACTCTTAACGTTCTCCGAGGGCTTGCTGTAAGGTCGCGAGAGTATTTATCTTCAATATACCAGCTACCTGGTTACACGGGACCTTCTCGATCTTCTTTACTCTTACCCAGACACCGTTTTACTATTCCCGTTTGATACTTGCGGATGGCTTCCCAAGCATGACAATAATGAATACTGGTGCGCACCTCATGAATCCTACCATCTGAAAAACCTTCTAGCTCATTCTCCACACTCTGTCTTGAATTCTGGGTATTATATTTCAGTCGCCGGTTGGGTCAGATAATCTTACTTCAGGGTTGATTATATCCTGTGTATAAGGCAGTCGTCGTCATTGGCATGGACGAACTCGGTTTTTAGGAACCAAAGGGAGACCAAATAACAAGGGCACTAACATCGCCTGCAGCATCAGATTTAGGATTCACTTGCACAGTTAATTCTTAGTCAACAGTCTGGACGTTTTAAGACGTAGGTTAAGTTCTAGGCAACTTTTGTTCCGAAGCTACAAGTCGAGCCCCATTCAGCCAGTCTTTTAGAGAATTACCAATCAGTGTTTTCTTTTCCTGAAAAAGCCTCCGTTAAGTAACCACATACTGCTACAAAATAAGATTAGGACCCCTAAGGATATTTTGGCACAAACGTACCAGAAGGCATCCACGTTAAAAAGACCTAGATTCTTCTAAAGATCTCACTTTACTTGGATAATTTAAGAAGGGCATGATGCAACTATTGGACAAACGAATTTAAAAGCAGCACATTTGCATAACATCACTGTTATAATAATCGGCCAGATTTGAACTCTGGGCGACTTATACACCAACCAGATACCAATGTCTGACCATCAATAAGGATACCTCTAGTCCACACATTAGTGTCATTCATTCTCAAAGAAGAAATTGACCAATAAATAAGTTACAAGGGTCTTCGTCATGCTCATACCTGTCATCTCCTGCCTGTGGAAAATATCTGGCAGGCAACAAGGATAAAGAGATAATCCGCGTCCTCGAATCGGGTTCCAGCCATTCTGCCGTATCGCGAACTCGTCCAATGACAACTTCGTGGACATCCTGGAACAAAAGCAGTGAGGAGGAATTTTCTGGCAAGAATGCGTCTGGTGGCACTTCGTAAACCAGGGTCACAGCAATGCGTCTTTGGAGACCTTGGTGTATGAGGAATACGCCTTGACAAGGTGCTTCATCCAGTCGATCAACAGGGACTGGATTATATCTGAAAAAGTCAGTAGTATTGCGTAAATTTTGTATTCCGCAACACAATACGGGCAACGGGTCAAACCCCAATCGACAAAAATGATTACAATTTGTGGAACATGATCAAAGATCAAAGCCAATTATATGAACGCTGGCTGGTCAACAATGGTCAGCAAAACCGGGCATATA